CAGTTTTTTTCGGGATAGCCCCCTTGTGCTTAAAAGCGACCAATTGCATGAATGTATTTACCTCACCCTGTAAATTGTAAACCAAGAAATAAACAGAGATATTCTACCCAGTATTCATCTATCTTGTAACAGTAATAACAGGAAGTTACATCAAACGTTATCAGGTGCTTCTCTTTTTCTTTTAAGCACAAGGGGACTTTCCCGAAAAGTGCTGTTTTGCGAAAATCGACGATAAAGTTTTTGCCCCTTGTTCAGTTTCTTTAAAAGACAAGGAGAGTTTTCTCTATAACCAAACAAGTACACACACCAAGGAAACCAAACTTCTCCTAAAGGTAGAGCAATGCCTACTTTTGGTGTAGCTCAAGATTTCTGGAAACGCCCGCAATCTGGGTTAGCCCGCTTGTCCTTAAAAGCAACCAATTATATCTTTACCTCACCCCGTAAATAAGGAGATCTAGTAAACCAAAGAGTAAACAGAGATGTGCTAACCCAGTATTCATCTATCTTGTAACAGCAACAGGAGGTTATGTCAAACGTTATCAGGTGCTTATCTATTTCTTTTTTCTTAAAAATGACGTAAGTGTAGGTGTTTGTGCACCTCCATCGACACAGTTGCCTCATTATCACGAGTTCAGAATTGTAAAGCTGTCCCCGTGGTTTTATGCACCCGCATAATTTAGCAAAATTTGATCATTTTTGTGTGTGCATAATTTCTGATTATTTTCCTTTATAATTCTTTGTTAAAAATTAACAGAATAGCATAATTAAAAATTGTTGGGCTCAGTTTGCATAATTTCTGAATTTTTCTTTCATAGAACTAAGTGGACAGGTAAAGGTGAGAGAGTACGGATAAAAAGTATAAAAGTAGAATCATACCTAAGAGTCATTCGGAGTTGTGTTTTCTGTACCCAGGTGTTAGAGGGGAGCGTGGTGAAGTAATGACAGTATCTCTGCTTCTCTCTCTGTCTCTGTCTCTGTCTCTGTCTGTCTCTCAGTCTCGCTCTCTCTCTCTGTCTCTATCTCTCTGTCTCCGTCTCTCCCCCCCCCTCTCTCTCTCTCTCTCTCTCTCTCTCTCTCTCTCTCTCTCTCTCTCTCTTATACCGCCAGGTTTAACCCTTTGCTTTTTATTTTCATTATCTAAAGTAGTATCCTTCTGTATGGCTGTGAATGCTGGAGATCTCTAAAGACAATGAAAATAAAATAGAAGCAACAGAAATGTGTTTTTTTTGGGAGACTGCTATGAGTATCGTGGAAGGAAAAGAAATCAAATGAGATGGTGCTTGATGAAACCCACGTGGGATGGCCACTGTTAAAAACAATCAGGAAACAACAAATACAGTTTTTGGGATACCTGAATAGACATAAGGGTCTTGAACATCTAGCTATCACTGGCAAAATTGAAGTCAAGAGAGGCTGGGGTAGGCTCAGGGCAACCTACTTGGGGAACCTGAACAAGTGGGTGACAGGGAAAGATCAGGGAAACGTAACTTTTTAAAGAGCACCCGAGCAAGGGAATGATTGCCGATGTCTGGCGCAGATCTGGCACTGGATGATGATGAAAGTAGTATCCAGGCAGATCCTGTAACTTTCCGAAACATTCTCATCTTCCTGGAGCAGGTTGCCATTTTACTGGCGTTCAAATACTAACAAATTGGAAACGTCGCTCAAGGTCTTTAGCCGTAACCAGGTTGCCATTCGTACTTTAGTAGAGTGTGGAAAATGCACTGTATGTAAACTGGCTTTCCCAGACCAGAATTCGAACCCTTTCCTTACTGATGCCGGTCGGCGGGTCTTTTACTTTTCACTTCACACAGCTGCTGCTATTTTTAGATTTCAATATCTCAGAGAGAGAGAGAGAGAGAGAGAGAGAGAGAGAGAGAGTGAGAGAGAGAGAGAGTGTGTGTGTGTGTGTGTGAGTGTGTGTGTGTGTGTGTGTGTGAGAGAGAGAGCGAAAGAGAGAGAGAGAGAAAGAGAGAGAGAGAGAGAGAGAGAGAGAGAGAGAGAGAGAGAGAGAGAGAGAGAGAGAGAGAGGGACGGAGAGAGAGGGAGAGGGAAAGAGAGGCATTCATACATAACTGCACTAGTACAAGCCGTGCTTTGTATTTGACCACACATTTTTTTACTCCACATTCTTAGGGCAAGAACATAGAGAAATCCGAAACTCAAGCAGCTGAAGATCGACGCTGACAGGCGCCAGTGTGTCTGCTGTACTCCACATAAAGGGCGCCTGTTGCCGCTCCTTTTATGCACGCGCTGCATAGATCTAATCTAGATTTATCTAGTTCTAGAGTGGTTCCAAGAATGGACTCGTGATCCGACAATGAATTTATTTTTCTTGATTAGTCTGTTCCCTAAACTAAGGAGAACATGTCGAGTAGTGGAAATGTACATGACATTAACAAGGAAAGATCACGTCTTGGTGAAAATCATCATCTATTCGAACAATTAAAATCACACCCAGACCACAACACGGCTGCATGGTATTGATGAAGCAAATCTTAACATTATCTGTACGCCCTGGGGTCATTTTGTATCCCCAGGGTTGTATTCTTGATATTTTTGAATACTTCTAGAGCGAAGATCTCTTTGAAACTTTCAGTATTTCTCAAAAAATCATTTTGGCGGACTGCTATGCAAAGCGTACGGATCCAATTAACGAGTAAATTTCCTCTTTGGAAAGTGGTGGCACAGAGTTCCCCACGTCGTATGGATACGATAGTATAACACGACGTACGGATAGGGTTAAGTGGTGGCACAGAGTTCCCCACGTCGTATGGATACGATAGTAAAACACGACGTACGGATAGGTTAAGTGGCGGCTCAGAGTTCCCCACGTCGTATGGATACGATAGTAAAACACGACGTACGTTAAAGGTGGGAAAAACCAAAAACACGAATTTCCTAAAATGTTGCTTAAAATTTAAGTCTGCCCTGAATGCCCCGCCCCCCTAATTGACAACACTGATTTAAAAAATGTAATCAGTTTTTGTCTACGTGAAACACCAGCTCTGAAATGGCTATTTAAAATTGCCCCACGTTCAGTTGGGTGACGTCACGCAAACCACAGAACCCGAGTTGGCGACGGAGAGACGGTATTGAGTGTTGACAGCGAGATGCCCTTCCCAGTTTTTCGGCGTAATAAGAATATTATTATAGTTTGGATTCGGATAAAGCCGACAGCGCCGATCGGTGCTTAAAGCCGCATGCAGTCTTCCAGCTCTATTTGGGGCAAGTTGAAAATCATAAGGGAATTTTTATACCTAGCGGCACTTACTGAGTCAGTCTCTGAAATCGACGTTCTCTATTTTTTGCCCTTTCTTTTATTTTTATCTCTAACTTTCACTGCACACGCACACACAAA